CCCCCGCCGCGCCCCCGACAGCTCAGCACTGCAGATGTGAGCGGGGGCTCCCGGAAAAGTGAGCCGTCCGAAGCCCCGTCCCGAGTCCCCACCTGCAGAGCCCAGCCGCTCCGTCCGTCCCGGCCGCAGCCTCCGCCCCCCGCCACCCCGCCAAGCAGCCCGGCCGTTTCTTCCGGAGTTAGACCTCAGTTGTTGGCCGTGCACGCAGCGCTGCGAGGGGCGTTCGCATGAAGGCGGGGCCACGGCGGCTCCCCGCGCTTTAGTGCCATCAGCCACAGGGAGCGGTCCGCGAGGCCGCCTCGGGGCCGTGCCGGGCGCGGGGACCGTGTTGCAAGGTCCTGTTCGTATGCAATGTCCAGACCAAGCGCACGCACAGACGGAGCAGGGCTCTGGTCGCCCGGACAGGGGCGAGAGCGGCCACAGACGGGCGCGCGGAGGGCGTCTAGAACTGCATTGTGCGCACGGTTGACAGCTGTGTGTTTGTCCAAACTCTGGAGTGCGCAGTTACGTCGGCTGCATTTTATGGTATGTAGATTATACCTCAATAGAGCTGTAAAGAAGACGGGGCAGAGGAAGGCGGAAGAGGAGGAGGAGGAGAAAAATCGAGAGAGAAGCACGGGGAAGAAGAGACTCACTTCTCTCCGGAACCTCCCCGTGCGCTCCGCGGCCGCAGGAAGCGCGGGGCCACCTTCCTCCCAGTCCTCACCTCGGTCCTCCCATACCCGACCTCCTTCTGAGGCAGCCCTTCCCTCGGCCCCCACCCCAGGTGCCTCCTGGGCCCCACGCCTCCGGGCGCCCCAGCCCCAGTGGCCATTTCCCTTGTATCCTCGCCTTCCACTGAGCGTCAGCTGCCACCAAACGGCCACGCCCAGCCGGGCCCGAGGCAGCGGCCCTCCGCGCACCTCCTCCAAGGTCCCCAGCCCAAGAGCCTGCCCCTCAGCCAGCGTGCGGATGCTGCTGCCTGCTGCACTCACCCGTCCCCAGCCCTCTCCTCCAGGCCTCCAGTCTGGTCCTGCCTCCCCTCTCCACGCAGCCCAGAGGCCTCTCTGGCCACCCTCCAGCTAGTCCCTCCATAGCGCCCCCGCAGCCCTGCAGACCGCATTCCTTACCCCGCCCGTGCTGGTTCCTGATTCACTGGTACTTTCCCTCTCACGGACTTCGCACATGCTGTGTTTCTGCCTGGCATGACTTCCTCCTCCACCTGAGGCCTGGCTGACCCCCACTTTTCCTGCAGGCCTCACCTCTCTGACAGTTGACCCCAAGTTAGCCTCCAACCCGGACTGTGAGCCACGTGGGGGCAGGAGCCAGAGGGGCTGGCAGTCACTGGGGTGGGAGCCTTGGGTATGAGGGCAGGGGGTGAGGGCCGTGAGGGGGCAGTAGCCACAGGGGTGAGGAGAAACAGAGGTAGGGCAGGAACCACAGGAGTTGGGGGCCACAGGGGCAGGTCAGGGAATACACGGGCAGGGCAGGGGCTGCAGGGGCCGGGGCCATGGGGAGAGGGGGTAGGGCATCTCTGCAGCCTTATTCAGCACTGCCCACCCCCCATGCTCAAGGTGGATTTCGGATTTCCTTTGTGCACCTGCTCCCCACTCTGCAGTGCCAGTTGTCCTTAGCGTCCTCTGCTCCCTCCTCCCCTGGCCCCATCCCATGGCCCCCACCTCTTGGAATTCCTCGAATCACCCATTCACACACACATACTCCACCCTCCAGGCCACTCTCGACTACCCTTCCAGCTCAGGCCTCAGTACATCCACCAAAGCCCTAAGGCAGGCCATGTGCATGGCTGAGAGGGCCCTTCGGGGGTCTCTAGATCAGCTGGGTCCTGGGAGGGCTGAGTGGCCAATGAGGGAGAAGGTGGGGTCTGAGGGAGGCCCAGTCTGCAGCTGCTGCCTGAGTGGTCAAGGGAGTTTCCAGAAAGCTCCCAACCGTTGCTGTACAGTCAGGACTCACACTTCCCACTGGAGCACCATATCCCTTGGTAAGTCCCTGGAACGTGGGGACACATGGGGGCAAACATGGGATGTGGAATTGGGGTAAGGGCTGAGCAGCCACAGCACCAGCACAGCCCTGGGGAAACACAGCCTGGTCTGGAAGGGTAGCGGCGGGAGAACAGGGACAGGGGTGGGGCAGCAGGAAGTGGGAAGGGGTCAGGCAAGAAGTCCCCACGATGATTCCCCCAAGCTTCTCAAAAACGGAACCAGCACAAGCCGCAGCTGCATCACCCTCTGACCCGCTGCCAGACCTGCCTCCCGGCCTCAAGTTCCTGCTGACCCTTTGGCCCCAGCCTGCAAAGCCTCCCTCGCCCCGTCGCGGAAATGCAGAGGAGGGCTCAGGGGCATCTCCTGGGTCTGCCAGTCGGAGAGGTAGGCTCTGAGTGAGAGCGCGGCGGCGGGGGGCTTTGGCCTGTGGTGGATGAGCCCCTTAAGAAGGCAGCGGGCAGCAGAGCCTGCTGCAGCAGGAAGAGCAGGTGCCCCTGGCACAGCCTGGGGGCAGAAGCCCTGGGCAGCTCCCCTAGACCACGCCCCCAGCGCTCAGGCCCGCGCAAGCGCACACACGAGAAGTTCCAAGTGTTCGGGTTTATTGTGGGCACGAGGGGCTACAGGGGAGCCCTGGGTGTCTGCAGGTAAGGCCTGGCATCTGCCTAGGCAGCAGTGGCCCAGCGGGTGGCCAGGGACGAGGTCTTCACAACCTGTGCACAGAGAGACAAGGACAGATGCGAGTGCAGTCTCCACCCCCGCCCTCAGGGGCAGGGAGACGGAGGGGGGACATCCCCATCCTGAGGGTGGGATGGGCTGGGAGAGGCTGGGGACAGTGGATATACCTGGGCTTACTTGAAGGTGTGACTCTCAGCTCCACCCCGCCCAAAGCCTACAGAGAAAATGAGGAAAAACAGTCAACAGGTTAGGGTTGGCAAGGGCTGTGGGGGCTGGGTCCGGGGTCACAGCGAGCATACCTTTGGGCCCGAACATGGCCGAGTAGCAGGGGTGGTTGCAATAGGGCTTGCCTTCATGCTGCAGAGAGAAGGGTCCTGAGGAGGTGCCTCACCCCCATGCCCCTTCCCCCCACCCCACCCCACCTGCGCTTCTCCCTACCTCGGCATGGCCCCCTGAGGTCAGGGTCTTCCCACATTTCTCACACTTCAGGCAGGGCCGATGCCAGTCCTTGCCCAGGGAGGTCACCCGCTCAGCTGCAGAAGTATAGACAGGCCCTCCATGAGACACTGCTCTGGGGACACAGGGTACACCCGCCTCCTGCAGCCACTTCCGCTCAGGGACCCGCCACCCACGCTGGCATTCTCTCACCCTGGCAGCGCACCCTAAGGTCTCAGCCGGCCCGTGCGCCCCAGGGGTTGGGGGGCCACCTCCAGTCCGCTCAGGCCGGTCCAGCCAAACAAACGGGAGGGGTCGCTGCCCCCTGAGGCACTTGTAAGTGCGGGCCCCGGCCCGTGCCCCTGAGGGCTGGCTGGGCTGGAAGAGGAGGAGAGGGGGGCCTCGAAGGCCTGGCGTGGGGTCGCAGGTCAGGAGGGCCTGGAGCCAGGCTGCCCGCGTTAAACCCTCCGGCCTTTGCGCCGGTGACCGGGGTGGACTGGAGCCTGCAGGCGCCCCTCTCCGCACCCAAGGACCGGGGACTTCCCGCTTCCTCCCGCCCCTCCCGCGGGTGGGACCCGGGGTGCGGGGCGGGAAGGCGGCGCCCAGGACCGAGCGCGCCCTGGGATCGCGCCCCGGGCGTCGGTTTCCGCATCTGTTTCTACTTAGCGCTGGGAGGGGCGGCCCCAACCCCGCGTTCCTTCTACTGCGCGGGGTCCTGGCCCAGGGCGCGCCCGAGAGGAGGCTAGAGAGACGGCGGAAGCCAGAGACGGGGAGACCCAGACGGGACTCACAGAGATGGGGAGACAGAGAAGCGGACAAACGGCAGGATCCAGAGGCGGGAAGACACAGAGACAGAGACAGCGGGACCATCGGGCGCGGGCCGTCTCCGCCCGCACGCCCAGGTGGATGCGGGCACGGCTAACGGGGCTGCTCGGAGCGGCGCCCAGGGATCCCCGGGCGCCCCAGCCCCGCGGGCAGCGTCGGGTCGCGTGGCAGGCGGGCGCGGGCGCGCTCACCGAAGTACACCTCCCTGTGGCACTTGGGGCACTTGGGCATGGCGGCGGTGGGTCCGGGGCAGGCGGCTGCGGCTGGGGCGGGAGCGGCCGGTCGG